CCATCGAAGAACGCATCTCGTACACCGACATGCGCACATTGATCTGAAGAAACACCCAAATGGATGCTACAAAATTTGAACTTTTCAACGGAAAATTATGATTTCCGGATAATAAGGTTTCTCGTTGCTTTGAAAAATGAATTTCCTATCATAGTTTCCCGATAGTGACGTCTCTCATCTTTGAAAGAAGAAGGAATTCACATGAAATGCTTAAGCAAGAATGCTTGCTGAACGCTGTTGACAGCTCAATCTTTTCGATTCAGTTAACAGGAAGTTAGAGTGGAATTTTCTCAATTTTATCGCTCCCATTTTGAGGCAATGAAACAGTTTTGAGTGCTTCTTCATCACTTTTTTGGTGAATAATCGAGCAATCTTTGAAGCCGTCGAAGCGAAATGCGCTAACCGATTGCAATTTTAGGATTTGTCGCCAGAAAGATTCCTTGGCATCGCGCGAATGATATCGGATTCGCGAGAGCCTCTTTCACCCTTACTGTTTCACTTCGTGCACATCCCGTTGTACACAATTGGTCTTCATCAGCCGATTGCTCCTGCAAAGTTGTGCGCATCAAATATTGTTATGTGGAAGACATTTGCTATCGAATTTGTCTTTTTTCCATTTATAAATATAAAACGTCGAGAATTTTGCCATAATTTTAACACAGAAACCAAAGAACATGAAATGAAAACAGAAGCGCTATGATTTGATTTTCGATTCATTTTATTCTATTTTTTGTTAAAATCAAATGATTTTCACTACCGCATCTTGCGACTGATATTCAAGTGCACCTCTTTCAAAAGGTAAACAATTCTAAAAATCGAAACAATAGCCTCTTATTTACTTTTTGATGTCCTAATATAGCTGCAAAAATATCGTAGTGCCATCACGAGCTAGGCAAATCTCTTGACGATCGAAAAAGTGATAGATCAAATGATCATAAGGAAACGATAAGCTGAGTGGTGGGAATAAAGTGATAATAGGACATTTTATGACAAGAAATATGGCCTTTGCAAGAACGATCAACGATGTTTAAGTTGGAGGAAGAAAAAGTTACTTTTATTCCCAATCAAATCAGCAAATTCTCACAAAGACTACAGCAGAAAAACTGCTCAGTTGGCTGATTNNCGAGAAATGCGTAACAGTGAAACACGGGCATAGCTATTATTGAGGATAACAATAATATTACTCTTAAAAGCACTCTTAATGACTGAAAAATATTTCACTAGCAATGACATTCCATATACAGAATCGCTTGAGTGACGTTCTACGAGTAGATCATAAAGTTGCTGTCGCCTATACCTCTAAATTAAATCGCTTGCATAAAGGGGAAATAGGAGAAGCATCCAAAATCAGTTACAAATGAACACTTCTCCTCTGTTGTCCCTTTGGAACGGCTGAGGTTTTAGCCTCGTTAATTTGCTCAAAACAGTCGCGCAAGTCGAGCCAGGCTCAATACGCAGTGAATGTTCAGTGATTAACTTCGGTTGCGATGATTATTTAAAAAAAAACGATGAATTGCAGCGATTACCTTGATGAGTGTTTCGGGTATTCGAATCGCAACCGAAAGAAAGCGACCGTGACGCCTTACGTGTACGGTTGTAGCGATGTGCTGCAGTGAAATCTCCACATGTGAGCCGTTCTGGGGTCGTATCTCAACGGGACGTTCTTTCGGATCACCACCAAACATGGTGCCATCGTTGAACGATATCGGTAGTTGCAAATCCTCTGAACTTGCTTCGTACTGTTTTTGTGCGGTACAATGCCGTGTCGATCTTATGATTACGGTCACCTTAAACCAAATAACTGAGTTAATAATGACAGATCCATTATCCAGTCTTGTTCATTCCAAACTTCAGCACCATTTCAGCTTCAAAAAAGGACAATCAGCTCCATTTAATTCTCTCTGTTGATGCTTACTTAGCAATTAGAAATATGTCTTCGGGCAGTGCCAATAAATTACATAATCAATTTCATCACATAATCAGTTCGTATTGGTTATATCATGAAGATCCTATGATAATTTTATGAATAACAACACTGAAAGTGCTGATTGTATGTTCCAAAATTAAACTAATGATGGCAAATATAACAATAAATTTGTCACGAACTTATCAATCATTCCTATGAAATATGATTGATGCACTTAAATTGTCAGTCAACGGTAACAATCAAAAAAACTAACAACAAAAACGCCACAAAAACTATTACACATGCTCAAATCATCACAGCGCTAAAATTCAACCGAAGTGTTTTTCCCTGATACTTTTTGATGGTCCCGATTTGCGGTGGTAAAGTTGTCAAATAGTTTGATGTTAGCGATTATGAATGAAACGTTTCATTTATGCATTTGCAACGAATATGTAATANTATTATATTGCACGAGATGTATTAATTGAATATTTATAACATGAATATGAAAGTCGACCAGTGACGAATCCAGCTAACATTTCATACAATTTACTGATTCAGTCGTTCAACGCTTGATGTCTTTCGTGGTTCTATGCTTTCAATACATCGTCCAATACATAGTGATATATGTCAACAGACGTGATGTCAACAGCTTTACAGAGTTAGGCAACTGAGTGCAGGTAGATTCAACAGAAAACTAAAAATTCATAGCATCCAAAATTTTGATTTCTTTAGAACTTTAGACGGGATATGTATACTCATATTATTACCATATAGAAAAATAATGCTTATTGTGTTTCCAATTTGATACAAACCATGATTTTTCACCTCATATGACTCCAAATGCCATTGGTCGTCGAAATAATTAATTTTGAACCCTTCTAGAAAGTATGATGCATTATGCTTTGAAAAATGCTATCAAATAATAGAAGCTCTTCGTTCATGCGAAGAAGTACCGTCATCTACGATTGAATGCTGGCTTTCCTTCATCGATAGGAAGTCAAGTGCTTTTATGTGGGTTCATTGTTCCTCAATGTGAATCCCTATAGTGTTTATTTGGCTGAGTCGAAGTACTCAGTCATGTCGAAGCTTGACACTATGTATCAGATGGTATGTAATATGTAATAAGACGTGTAAGTTCGCTTGTAATTCAAGTCAATCTTGTTGTAGCGCCACTTAACACTGAAGTCGTATGACGGATGTGAATGAATGAACACAACAATAAAAACAAATCACTTAGCAGCAATTAGACAGCTGACACCGTGTGGCTCGTCTTATAGCTAGCAGCACTTTAGATACCACAAAGCCAGAAAAAAAACGAACGAGAGAACTTTACAGACAATTGATTGTGAGAGGTGCCGATGGAGTTTTTGTTTGGTTGTGAAAAAAAACGCGATGTTTTATAGCGGAACATCTTAATCGTCCATTTTTTCAGCACTCAATTGTAAACCGACAACGCAAAAAAAATGAAAAGAATTCCTCGCAAAAACACTTCATTGCATAAAGTACAATAATAAACTAATTGCCATGTCATAAATAATGAACGTGCTGAGAATGAAATAAATCAAATTAAGAGAAGAACCAACGAATACAAAATGGTTCCTTCCGACTGTAAAGATGAAAAGAATTTGAAAAAGTCAATCCGAAATAAACTTAGGATCGCTTCTTGAACT